TGTCTCTTACATGTGTTTCTCTCCTTCCAGGTGACTCCTCACCTGGCTCTTTCTTAAATCTAATCTGGGAAACTGTTTGTAAGACTGGAAAGGAATGAGAAACTTCAGGTGAGGGTCACTATGACCCCAAATTAGAGCATTAGACAAGAACCTTCTTTTTGGCAAATGAATTTTCTTTACTAGTGACCCAGACTGCAAATTTACCTGGCAACATAGGAGGGGAAATTAGAGAGTCAGAGAGAGAAGCAGAAATTGATCTGGCTGTGCTGGGAAGACACAAAATTCTCTGGGGGAGGAGAAGGAATGGGAGGTGAGACAGAAGAAATGAGGGAGAGAGGAAGAGGGGAGGACAGAGAAGACCCTACTTGTGGAAAAGATGAAAGGCAAACCTCGGGTTTTATGAAGAAAATAAGAAATAACTGACTTGACCCATCACAGCAGCCTGGCCTGCCTGGCAGGAAGAACCAGGAGTTTGGATTCATCCTGGAGCATCCCACTGCACCACAGCCTTCATCCCACTCCCATGGCACATGCACTTGTTACCTGTAACAAGGGGTCTCAGTGGCAGGAAAATATCTACTTACACAAGCCAGTGACTGGTTAAAAGCTTCAATATTGTGAGTGAATGTCTCTTGGGCCTTGCAAAAACCAGCAGAAATCACTGCCAGGAGAGCTTTGGCAATGTGCACCACGGATCTGAGTTTCACCTCAATCTGTGCAGCCTCTCCTGACTAGGGAAAAGCAAAACTTTCCTTTTTTTTTTTTTTTAATCCAATCAATCAGATTTTCTCCTGAAACAACTCACTGGTGGGGACAGAACACCCTGGAGGTTTTTCAAACTGCCTGGACTTAAAAGTCCACATTGCTTTTTAGTTTGTTTTTTTTTTGTTTTCTAGTATGCTTGGCCAAGCTTATCGAGTGTTTTGTCACATTCAGACAGCATCACTTACAAAAACAAAAGGTATCCCTGACACCAGCAAATGAGGCTGGCAGCTCTGAGCTACATCACTCCCTATCTCAAAGATTACACTGAAATATAAAAATAAAATAAACTCAGCCTTTTGCCAGAAAAAATAAACTCTGACAGGCCAGAACCCCCAGAATTCCATAGCACACTAGAAGCAGCTGCTCTTTAACTCAGGTTAATTGTTGGTTTCTACTCTACAAGTTCAGTCAACAAATTCAGCCCCAAATATGTACCACAGTAGTACAGAAAACTACTTACAGCCACAGAAAATTATTGTGTTGTCCAAAGAGTTGTGGGAGACTCAAAACAAGGTCAAATTTATGGTAGCTATAAAACCTTTTCATGCCAAGTTTCAAGTAAATTTGGATATATTTATAGTTTGGAGAGGAAAACAGCAACTTCTTAGTGGTCTCATATAGTGCCTGCTCAAAAATAATGTCAGTTTTGGATGTGTTTATATTTAATTTCATTTAAACCTGAAACTTAGAACCAAACTGATCTGGAATTAAAAGCTCACAAAAACAGTTGTATGGGGAGAAACTACAAAACACTGGTATCCCTTGATGCAGCTTTCTTCACTGGCTTTTTTGTGTCCATCATCTTCTACTGCAATAAGAAAAAGAACTAATAAAAGGAAAGAAATAAGTATTCTAATTCCAACTCAGTCTGGACCTCAGCCAGTCCACCATGTAATAGCAAAAATGCTAATGTTAGCTGCAGTAATCTTCTTAAGATGATGAATAGAGACCAAAAATCTACACAGCTCTGCTGCATCTGAGAACAGCTTCTAGACTGTGCTGTCCCCAAGGTTTGCCCGTGGCATGGGGAGGAATGGGGGGATTGCCAAAAATTACATTTTCTTTTTGATGTTCTTCCATAATGGAATGGTTTTGAGCTGAGGAACCTCCGGAGGATTCCATCTCATGACTTAAATCTTTTGCTTTTTATTTCTGTGGTCCCTCCTGTGAAAACCACGAATACTTACACAAGAATTGTGATGCTATTCTCTGGCATAGCTGTGGAAAAGCTTCAAAGAGGTCCAGCAGTGAGAGCAGACAACATCCACCAACCCTCCCACACCTGGTCCCGCTGGGCAAATGGCACAGGAATATACACATATTGTTTATGGATCATTAATCTCCAAACTCCCTCCCACTGGGGTCTAGAAAATATATTTCTTTCTCTTTAATTTGACAGAGGAAGGAATTTAAGCCAAAGAAGTTTGTCTCAGATGAGACCAAGTGGTTCTGATGGAGAGAATGATTGATTGGCAAAGCCAATGTCTTGCCCTCTGTTGACTGCATTCATCACCCTTTGACAGAAAAAGTCCAAACCTCCACATCTTCCATTTGTCTTCTTACCTTCCTGGCTAAAATAAGCCAGCAATGCTTTTTCCCCCAGTTTCTCCACATCTTTGCCTGGCAGATCTGGCAGATCTTTGCCAGAGGCAGAGCTCACATGAGAGACACAGATCTCTCACCAGACACACACAGTTTTGTTGTAAACAGATTCATTGGAAAGGTCACCGAGAAATTTCTGCCAGTGACAAATACAGGTGAATGCTTGGTGAATACAACCATTAGGTGAAATTACAATCCACATTTTCTGCTGGTAATTATTCTGCTGGCTGCGAGACCCAGAGGTGGCTGCTTCAGGACACCAAAGAGCCTTGGATCCAGCTCAGCTCTGTCTCAAGGTCCTTTCCTTGATGGGTTCTGTCCCAAGAGGGGAAAAGAAGGAGGTTGATCCTCACCTGTGCTGTATAAGCCAGGATGGGGTTTATGTGCTCCCATCATTCCTCAGGATGGAACCCAAATGCAGCTGGAGGTCTGGAATACACACAGCTGTATCCACATCTTCCCTCTAAGGTACCACACCTGATAACCTACATTCAGCTCTGAAATCAAAGGCCAGAAGAATAAACAATTCTTCAGACTTAATTAATCTCACCTCTCCCTCCTTTCTGTTTGGTTCTACCACACAACAAAGGATGTAGCTCCGAATTTGCTCCACAGCTAATTCCTGCAGCTCAGAATTTGCTCCATGGCTAATTCCTGTAGCCCAGAATTTGCTCCACAGCTAATTCCTGTAGCTCAGAATTTGCTCCA